ACTTAAAACTATATCTACATATTCAAAAAAAAAAAAAAATTTTGTAACATTTTTTTTAATGAAAACCTATTATTAACATCAAACAATATTAATGTGATGAATGTGATTGTTTATTTTTACACTAATAATTAAATCTAGGCTCAATTTAAGTTAGTGCAGATCGTAATAAATTTTCAACGTATATTAAAGTTGAACGGTATTTTGATTTTATGTAAGTTAATATAGAAGAGGCTGATTCACATAAATATGTTGCACAAAATGGCAGTAATTTGTTTATTGCCATTTCCGATAGTAGGGAATATTCTGATTTGATTTCAATCCAAAATTCATGCACAGAAACTTGAAAAAATCTGAGTCGCAAGGTAGCATCACTTGTTAATTCGGTAAATTTTTCTTGTGCTTTTAAGTTTGAAAAATTAATTTCTTCCATTTTAATTGAAAATGGATTGCAAATCCATTGTTGTGTATCGATATCATTGAGAAAATACCTATGCATGTAAACTTCCATATTCTTCAAATGATTAACTATAATTTTTGTTATAGGAGTATCTTTTTTTGAAATATTTTACTAATTATATACTCGTCAGTAAATGGAAACATTTCGAGCGATCCACTTTCAACTCTGTTTTTCCATATAAGAATTATTTTAACAAAGGCCTCAAGTTTATTTTTTAACATAAACATATTAACGCAGACTCCCTGCATTGATAAATTCATATCATTGATTTTATCAAAAATATTGGCCAAATAGCATAGCTTGAGAAGCCATAAATTATCGTGAAAATAGTCGGCCTAATAATACTAATTTTAAAATTTTGTTTATAATGATTGAAAAGTATCAGATCTTTGCGACCCCTTGTTAGTAGTCCCGTTTAAGAAGCCCTGCTCTAAATAATGATTTTAATTATAAAATTTTTATTGTAATATATTTATTTCATATTGTTTAGTAATATTTATTTAAAGTTAAGAAATTTTATAAGCTGTTGTAGAGAAACGTGACTTTGTTTTGCAAAGCTTTTTAAGTTATTGGACATTATATGGTCTTTTAGGTAATTCCAGCACTCTACCATTGATCTTTGTACCATTGATCTATCTCTATATTCGCTTTATCATTATGAGCAACTGCCACATGAAGAACTTCAACACAGGAGTTCTTCCCTCCGGAATTGGTAACCAATCTATCCAGTTAATCAAATACCTTAGCTGAATTTTAAAATCGTTCCATACGATAAAATTCATTTGCTTTCAATACTAAGACGGTTAAACTTCAGGATAATTTTTTGTAATATTTTCTATTTGCTCTATTTTTTAGGTTGATATGTTTTGTGTTTTTCTTAAGTAATTGTAGTTTTTAACTACAGTGTTAATTGAATTCATAAACATTAATATAGTGGTTCTTTATGCATTAGAGAAAACAACATTTCTTCAAATTAGTTGATAAAGAAAATATCGTTGTATACTCATTTAGGGATATCAATTAAAAGTGATCTTATAATCCTTGCAGTCTCCGAAGTTCTTCTTTCACAAGTTTGTCAAATATATTTTCTTGTGGGGTAGTTATTCTTCATTTTATAATTTATTTTTATAAATTTATTTATAAACTATTCACATTTAGGTACTGAATTGTCAAATTTTGTTGTTCTTTTCCTACGATATCCACAATGCCATTCGTATTAATCCTTCTCCAATGCACAATGTCATTGTGCTATATAAGATCTGATCCAAAAACAAATTTTTCAGATGGCACCAATTCATATCTACTCAATAATAGTTACAAGCCTTCAAATTGTTTCTAGTCAAGATACACAGTCAAGTATACATTTAAATCTTCTTGAGAAATACCAATTAGAAGTTATACATAGCTAAGCTAATAAATCACTATTTGAGTCGGGACTCATTTATAAATATCAATAATGATCGAAGATGATGCAAACTTGCCAGTAGCATATGATTGTAAATTGTGCATGATTTCATATAGTAAAGGATTTGCAATGCATAACGAAATTGCATTAGACTATTGTCAAACATTTAAGTTTAAGTTTATATATGTTGTGTTCATATAATTGTGCTTCATCTAAATTTATTGAACAGTTCATGAAGGTTAAGATTAGTATCGAGTGTTTAGAGAGCTATTTGGTGCCCGGGCTGTGCATGTGACTCACGCCATCTCAGAATTTCATTGCCATAGAACTCGTTATATTACAAAATAGAATTTCAGAAACGCCACCGTCGTTCATTAAAATATCTTAGAATTGGTCAAATGCCAATCTACGCTGCCTCCTCTATGTATTTCATTAACATGTAATAGATATGCATTTATAAATTTATCTGTTATAAATCACGGTTATACATTCGCGTACACGTGGTCATTCATTAAGTATATACGCATACGATTGTACTTTTTGATAAATTTATTTTAAAATTTACTTGACGTAGACATGCCAGGTCTAATATTTTTGCCTAATGTAATATGACGGATATGATTTGATTGTTCAAGGTTTGGTATACGAGGGGTTTATAATCATGCTCATTGGTGTAATTTATAATCCTGCATTAATCCAATGTGATTATAAATTGATACTTTCTATTTTTTCTATGAGATTCACTTATAGTGAAGTACCAGTGTATATGGAAATTTGCAACCTCAGCAGATGATTTTTTGCACCATATTTTTTTTGTAATTTTTATTTGTCTTTATTTTTGATTCCCTCAAAAAGTCTAATTAAGTCGTTTATTGATTTTGCATTAACCTGTGGTATATTATTCTGATTAAAAGTATTATTTTCATATTCGTAGAAATAAGAAATGTCCGATGAATATTTTCTAGTAAATGTCCGATGAATATCTTTTATTAAAAATACTTATGAAAAAATTACTAAAACTGGCGATTATTAACTTATTCTGAACCTATTAAAAATCAATCTCTTAGTTTATTTCGTCCAGATATATACAATATCTTGAGATTTAATTGTTAGATGATTAAACTTATTTTTTAAATTAATAGCATCCCATTCTTTAAAAATGTTTTAATTACAATCTTTATTTATTCAAGTATTTTATTACAATTTTGCAGTGTACTTGTGAACTCAAACTGGATAACTAAATAGCAATTATTATAATTTAGGGTGAGGCACAAAGGTCTAATTTTGCTTTTCAGTAATCATACTGTCTAAACCAAATGAACAACTATCGAACTATGTTCAGTAATATTTCCAGTTAATTCCTAATTATAGAAATGTTTTTTATCTATTTGTCAAAAATTGTCATGTCCCATTTTATCCTGTAGGCTGGGTAAAAAAGGGACAGCCATCAGGCAAACAGATACAATGTCTTATTTTTAATTTTAAAGGGATTTTACGAAAGAACAGCTAAATTATTTAACCAATGCGAAATAAAAAATTCATGGACTAAGATTTCACCGTATATTAATCATTTAACTAAGGTTACACCGTATTTTACCTTGATGTGGTATTTTCATCAGCAGAAATATTCATCAGCAGAGTTGGAGTAACTTATAATTTATTTTTTCTCTTGTAAAATCGTTTTAACCTGCCTGACTTTTATTTACTATTTACTTTATTTTTTATACAAATGCCAGTGTAAACATTTTGTAAAAAGTTGGTCCTTTTTGGTCCAATCATATGTAATCATATATAGGAGTTATATAAAGAAAAGTGTTGAATCTAACTTGAATCTACTTTAAAATAGTATTAATACAAAATTCTATACTATACTTTACTTGTTTTTGAGATAATAGCGGTGGACCTTTTTTTTATTCTTTTTAATTATCAGTTTTTACTTTCATTTCATTAATTAATAGATCCATTTTACTAATTGTAATTATTATGAAAGTTTCCAGTATATTTACAAGAAAATGAATTACTATTTTTGTACTTCTTAAAATTGAATTCAAAACTATGTTCTTGGAATATATGATGAATTTCGATCACACTTCTAACAGTAATCATTTCGTAATTTCACATTAAAAAAATGTTAAAATATGTTTGAATTTTATTTCGTTGATTTAAATTCTTCTTTAAAATTCTAAACGCTTTTTTAAAATCATATCATCTATCTGATAACTGATACCATTCCTTTTTTCTCCCTCCACATTCCTTTGATACTTGGCAATCGAATTGAATAGTATTATATGAACTCGATTTGCATAGCGGAATGTGATTATTCACTACTCTGTTTTATTAAAAGCCTTTCTTATTTTACTTTATTAACTTGTATTTCCTATTTTTTATTCTTCATTAATTAAATTTCATTATAAGCCGTTTTACCTATTTGGTATGTATGTAGAAATTGTACTTTTGTAATTTTTTCATAGTTATTGTATTGAATTTTATTTGGATTGTAATTATTTTAGATTTGCTAAATTGTGATACATAATTAGAATCGAAATGTACAGAATAAGCTATGTAAAATTCTTGGGTGTTTTGTTACAAAAATTTTGAGATTAAAAAAAAGATAACAATTTTTTGTACATATTTTCTATAAAACAGATCAATCAAATTTTCCACAAAAATATATTTTTTAAAAGTATCGATTAGTTATCGAACTCGTGCAAAAAAAATAACTTTTATGGCTTTATAAATATTTCTTAATGGAAAAGAACATTTTACTAACGAAATATTTTTAAGATATTGCACTATTGAAATGATATCTAGCCTGTAGATTTTTTATCTAAATATCATTTAGAATCTACTGTTTTTAGTATGTTTTTCACTATCGAATGCATTGAGGGTGCTTGTGTACGTATTACATTATTATAGGTACTTTTCATACAACGTACATAAACAAAATTTAAATTTGTTCATATTTGTATTTTGCAATGAGTATCGCTTAGTCATATTTGCATATGTTATTAGTAACGCTTATTTTTGCAGATAATTAAATGGATACGAGAATTTATGCGACGGAAATAAAAATATGTTATTAGTTTTAACATTTACACTTACATTGTACTTGTTCATAATTTTTTTTTTTTATTTTAGAAACAAAAAAAGAAAAGGCAGATGGCATCAATCGTAATTTATCGATAACCTCGGAGGAGCAAGCAAATTTCACATCCACATTACCACCTCCAGGCGGAGGTAACAATTTATGCCCTAGTTCGGCGGGTTCTGGGGAAACTTACATTAAACCAGAACGACCATCGACACTGGCCCCGGCTGGGAAACTCAATAGAAGACTAATATGTTATCATAGTGAGCATTGTAAGTTCGACTATTTTTTTTTTCAAAATATTTTGCACTCTCCGCTTATGTATGCCTGAAGCAACCTTAAATCACATCAACACCTTTCTATGAATTTTTTTTTTTCTATGCGTAGTTGATGACCCTCTAGTACTCTTTACTAGTATACCTCATCGCTACACATTTTGTAATGTTAGACGGTGGTATCTTTTTCTAACATGATACTTTTAGTACAGATACTAAAACTCATTATAATACCAAAGAACCTGCTAATTAAACTTTTCATTGGAACCAAGATAAGTTAATTCAAAATGAATTTTAAAATTTATTTAAATCAAACTACATATATCAATAATTTAATAGGGCGCCGAGTCCCACGAAACATTAGTGAACAAAAATACGTCAAAACTCACAAAAGAAAAATCAAGACGTTTTTTCAAACTAATCTGAAATCATTGGAAACATCATATTGACATAAAATTATATAAAAAAGTGTTACTGATATATTTATTGAAGTTTGTTTACGGACTTTAAGAAGGCAATAATGTAATTTAATAAAGTTAGGACGAAAAACTTCGGGAAAAATATTAAGTAATTTAGAAACCTGACTTTTTGATAAGTTGCCCATAATATTTTATTTATTTTTATTCAATTATCTAAAGTTTTAAAAGAAAATCTAGTAATGTAAATAATATACATATATATATATATATATATATATATATATATATATCAGTAAAACAATAAAGTTGTGCTTTTCTCATTAATTCGGTTGTTTGATTCTATTAACTGAATTTGATTAAATGATATTAAAACTGTTTATATTTTGATTAGTTGCCGAAGGATCAGTTCAACCTGGACGACCAGGCAGTACGCCTCCTCCAGTCGAAAGGCACAGCAACGGCGGCGGAATGGTTCTGTCTGAGCTTCCAGAACCTCCTATTCCATTATCCGAAATCGGACCCATTCCGCCTCCTCCAATGTTCAGCTCGCCTAGTCCGACAACGCATCACAATATGCGCACATCTATGCCTTTGGAACTCTCCGAATACGATTATGAAGGTAAGATATATCGAACGATTATATTAATAAACTAGTTGGTATTGGTATTTTGCCTTGAGGCAAGTTCATGAACTTCCCGATATGTGTAAATAATCGACTCAATCAATAAAAAATAAATTAATTTATGAGTGATTAAAAGTATTCCGAGTGAATTTATTACACATAATTGAAAACGAACAAACACGTTAACACGGAGTATTTTCTAAAAGTAAATTTTCAAAAAAAACAAAAAATTTTATGATAGTAGTAGGATAGTAGGACTTCAATGATTTAGTATGTTCATTAAGACCAAGTACTCTATCGTTATACCAAGTAAATTGTCTAATTTTAATTTTAACAAACGTCAAAAAAACTACTCGTTTTCTCAAACTTTGATGATTCTTTAAAATTAAACTACTTGTCGTAAGGCCGTAATATTTCAGTAAGTTCTATAAAACCACGATATATATCGTCAAAAAAAGTTCCATAAAAATCTGCCAATTTTTTTTTCAGCAGTTAATTACAAGAAAACGGCTCGGTAGATTTTCACTTAAAACTAATCAGTATCATTTCCAACTAATATCTTTCGAACAGTTTTTGATTTTTTAAATTTGATTCGGAAGTATGAGCTTAAATGTGGACGAAAAGCTAACACTCTTTTTCAAATTACAAAGAAACGGCTCGGCAGATCGTCTCACAAAACTGACAAACTATAGTGCTAATTGAGATACATCAAATGGCTTTTAAATTTCTGAAATCGGTTTAGGCGTTTTTGAGCAAACGGCGATGAAAGGTCTAATTTTGACAAATGCCAAAAAAACGATACTAATTTTTGCAAACTTTGAAGAAATTTTAAAATTAAACTTGTCGTAGGGCCGTAATATTTTAGTATGATCCATAAGACTATAGTATCTACCGTCAAAAAAAAATCATAAAAATCGTCGAAAAAATTTTTTTAACACTTTATTACAAGAAAACGGCCCGGCCGATTTTTACCAAAATCTAATCAGCACGATACGCAACTAATATCTTTCGAACAGTTTTCTTGATCAATAGATTCGCAGATGTTCAATTAATAAATTTATAAATAATAAACAGTACAACAAAAAATTATGACACATAAAGTTCAGAAAAAGGTGAAAGGCATTTGCATCAGACAATAAAAATTAAACTTTGACTAAAAACATTTTAATTAACAAATGTACAAACATTACTCTAAAGCGTATTTCTTACTTAAATCTTGTTTAATGCGACATTCACCATTATGTTATTGTATGTACTTCACCATTTGTGCCGTTTTGCCTTGCTTTTTTTGATTTCTCTTAATCAATTGTAAAATTATTTGTGTGACTTTAGATCATGACGAAGCGGAACAGGACATTGAGAACATGGATTCTGATTCAGACGACACTCCGAGCGGCTGCTACTTGAGGCGCATGGAGCCTGTAATAGACACATCACGGGTCGACGAGATTCCAGCAAAAGAACCAAAATTTAACGCAGTGCCCCTTAAATCTGCACTCAAGAAGAAGACCAGCGGTTCTGACACTCCTACTAATGCTACACCAACGCAAGAGCATGCGCCCCATACGCCACATGCACATGCCAGATCTCATCTCACGTTTAATCATACTGGATCGTTGAAGTTAGTGCATTATATAGTAATATATCATACTTTGATACATCGAATTCTTTTCTTGTATAGTTATCAAATAGATAATTAATCTAGAATATTCGATATTTATTATTTTGGTACGATTTTAACGTATTTCAAAGATTTTATTAGTAATATTTACTTAAATCGTCAAATTAATTTTTTTAAGCCTTGCTAAGAATTATATTAGAATATACTATAGTTCCTTACTCTAGTTTTTTTTAAATTTTCACATTTTTCAAAACATTGAATAAATCAGTATAGATTTTTATACCAGTGATTTTTTGTATTTTGAAGTGCTACATCATTTCTTTAAAATTTGTTGCTTTGCTATCAATCGATTTTAAGAACGAAACGAGTTAATAAAAGTCATACGGGCCAATGACAAGTGGTTAAATTTTAAAAAATAATTTTAGAAAAATGGGATACATGCTACGCTTACCTCCATTGAAACGGGGCGTGCTCATGATATTACGACTTGTTTTGCAGGTTAAAATCTCGCCATTGATTTTCCGATTTTCCTGAAATTTTACGACAGCAACTCGCCTGTAGGCCACACCGTTCGGAATTCGAAGTTGCGATATATGGGAAAAAACTAAGAATTTTGAGACCTTTCTAACGATGTATAATACTTTATATGTTTTCTTTACAGAAATATCGAATCGTGAGGAGTGTTGCTCCAACCTAGCCGCACTTTGCGCTTTTTTAATAACTTTTCATAAGTCTTTAACACTCCTACTTTTGAAGCATAGATTCAACTATCAACTGCATTTACAATTAGAAGTTTTTTTTTTTTTGTTACAATTTATTTTTGTTAATCTAGACTTTAATGTCTTATTTACAAAATTGAAATGAGCAAAAAAAAAAAAATACAAAAAAAAAACAAAAAATGCAATAAATTGAATATAAAATGAAAAAAGTTAAAATAAAAATTAAATTAAAACAGTAATACAAAAATAACATAAATGAACGATGACGTGATGATGTATGCCGCGTACTACGTCAGGACGCGTGCAGACATTGGGCTAGGTGTTTGGTAGATCGGAAGGCCATTTCTTGCTCAATCTTCTTATCGGTCTGTGAATCGCTTGAATTGTAGGATTTGTATGCTGGATTAATTTATTGTTGAAAGATGAACTTCTAATCTTGATCATTTCGTTGACTGTTGAGATTTTCAAATCCTTATGTAGACAAAAATTCGAAATATACCAAGGCGCATTAGTAAGGATACGCAGAATTTTATTCTGGCACCTTTGAATGATGTTTATGTTAGATTTGCAAGTGATATAAAAATCTCTTACTACTACTAGTAAGCCTGAGGTTTTACTTTACAATCTGATTTCAGTTCGCGACCCGTTCGATTCGGCGGAGTTACAATCGAGAACAAAGAAAATGCACGTCCTATTCCGATTTGCGAGGATAGTAACGGCGATGTCACTGGAAACGATTCTGACGCTGGCGAAGGTAGTGACCAGGGCGACGGAGAAACTTTGTACCGCACAGACTACGAACGGGACCGGGATCGTGAATCGGAAGACGATAAGACGCGTGCTGCAGCAAAAATCGCGAGGAAAGAGAGCCTATCACTCAAGTTGGCTCTTAGGCCTGATCGGCAAGAACTGATTAACAGGTCTGTTTTTCTTAGTTGATTCATTTTTTAAATTCAAATATATGTTAACCCTTTGTACTACGTAAGCGCCGTATGCTTTATTACACTAACTTTTTAAGAGTCGCTGTTGCGCCAAATGCATTGAGCACTACCTTAAACACGTTACTATTGCGCGGGTTTCTTAATGAAAATCAAATTGTATTTGTATTATAATAAAATGCATTAATAAAATCAGGACGACAAATGAGTTTTTTACATTATTTCAATTTTTACTTGAATGCATGAATGGCGCGGATAGTCCCACTCATGAGCAAAGACTTTAAGTGCACAGGGTTAATATGTTAATTTGTTAATAACTGTATTGCCAAAGATCGAGAGCTAATAAAATATTTATTTTATAGTTTAATATAATAAAATATTTAGTTTATAGTGTTCTTGTATGTGAAGGAATTTTTGCCGTACGACCACGTTTTCTCAGAAACCGTTGAACAGATTTTCAAATAGAGATTTAATGATGATTTGCTTCGATCAGTATTGTATAATGATTAGACGAATCATTTTTTCTTATTAGCGTATATCATAAAATTTCAATAAATATTTGATATGTTTTTATTATTGTTATTATTTATTGACCACTTCTTTATAAGTTAAAAAAAATATGGCTAAGTTTGAATGAATTAATACATATAGTAAATATAATTTAAGGTTTGATCTCAAGCCATATGAGCAAATCGTAATTTATAGCTTCTTATTTATGCGAATTTGAAATACTGCAAAAATTACCAAAATTCACTGATAATATTTGTAATACATATTATAATCATGTTGAATCTTCATGATTAATTTTTAGATATAATGAAACCTATAAGGTGCCGTTCAAGTTTTTTGACATTTAGGATAATTTTTCTTTATTTATTTATTTATTCAACGCCCATGGCAATAATACAACATATTTACATTTTGAAGTGTACAAATTATAAACTAAAGGTAATATGAGAAAAGTTGAGTATTAAGAGTTCATAGATAGCTTTGTATATATACATAACACTTTATATAAACTACAAATATATAACATTAAATTAATAATAATATTCTCTTTCAATAGGGATCAATATAACAATTTGGAATTAAAATTATTTTCTGTACTTATTAGGACTGAGTGAATTGTTTTAAATATTTTAGTTAATAATCGCTTTTTATTCCTTCTTTATCACTTTTATCCAAATGTTATTATTGATACAACTTATTTACCTTGGTGCCCGCATTATCTGGTTTCAATAAAAGAACGCAATATCAACAAAACTATACTATATTCGAATAAAAGTAATTTTTGATAATCGGATTTTTTTTTTGTTCGTTTAACTTTTGTTTAATATTGTTTGATACATCGTTTAATATGGTTTGATACATCGATTTTGAGACCTTCTACAGATATTAGTGACTTCTGTTTTGAGAACTATATTTATTTAATTGTATGTTATTAATCTATCATTTCTTTGCATTAGGAATATACTTCAAATTCAGAGTGAGAATGAAAGACAAGAATCTAAAGAAGCTATAGGTGCAAGATTGATACGACGATTGTCAATGCGGCCTACACCCGAGGAATTAATGGAAAGAAACATACTGAAAAGTAAGATAATTCAAATTACATGTTTTAATTATAATTAATCAATAATGTTCTATGTTTTTGATTTCTATTTTTATATTTTAAGATATCGGTAAATACAACTTAGATTATATATTTAATACGGTCGATTGATGTCCGCCTGCTTGTCGGTCACAGTGATTTTAAATCTAAACTATAAGTATGAATTATGAATATAAATGACGCCTTGAACATCCGCATTAAACAATTTGATAAAGTATCTAAAATATCGCTTTTCAAAATTGAATTGACAGACGATGATTGATTAGCGGTTCCAAGTAAATTCAAACATATTTCGGTTTAATAATAAATAAAGATGACTAAATTTAGTGAATAGACTTTTAACTTAATATTATTTTCTTTTATATAAAAATATTAATTAAAAATGCAAAGTTCTAATAATCTAATTTCACTGTAAGTTTACGAACTATATTAGTAGAAAATAAGTAATTTTATAGAAGTACCTCTCACTCACTAGGACTATGTCCGACTTAATTAGCATTGTGATAATGAAATACTGAAATTAACCAGAAAATCGTCATCTAATTCGTGTTTTATTAATATTTATACGATTCAATGCATTCTTATAATTTTGAACTACAGCAGAAAGTGAAATTAAATAGAATTACAAACTGTATGACTTATATTAATGCATATTTTGGAAAAATAGTATTCTTTTAGATTATTTGAATTTTACGTTTAATTAATGTCGTACATAAAAATTATGCTAGAGTATGATGCTAAAACACATACACTGATAACGAAAAGTTATTCAAAAATGCTATCTTTAAATTTTTAATTATTAAAATTTGCATTAATGTTCTACAAAACCATTGAAACTTTGTTATAATTTAAAATTTCACTGTATTTTTTAATTGATAATCTTTATTGAAATAATATTTTCTTATTTGTTCATTAAAATTTTTTCATTAACTACTACTAGTGATATTTGACATTTATCATTTACATATTTATATAAAATAACATGAAATTTATTAATAAATTGTTTGCATCTAATTAAAACATCTTATTAGTCGTGGGGATATGCCAAATACACATTTTTTGTCAATTGTATATTGGGTGCTTTTTTATTTGCAAATGTTCATCAAGTTGTAAAATTTTTGTACTTGAAGTAAACAGATTTAAGAAAAATCATTCTCGAATTGATATCGAATTTGTATTACACTTACAATTAGATTATTATTAATTTCTCATATTGCAAAAAGAAATTGGCTAAATATATTAATTTGAAATACTAAATTATTTTAATAAATTCAGTTATGATTAAAATTAATATTCAAACTATACGTTTTTATCATGTGCACATTGTGTGGTGCTTATTAAATAGCTAATCACGGACATTAAAGAAATTATAGTGGTAGACAAACAGCATTGTACAATAAAACTAGTTATACATATTATGGTTACAAAACTCATCAATAGCTTACTCAAAAATAATAGTGAGTGAAATATAATGAAAGTTTTATATACAACAAGTCAAATATCAAAGTTTAATTAAATTTTGATGGTATATAACTATTTGTTTTTGTATTTTTAGCGCAAACACCAGCTGAAGAAAAGAAACAGAAAGAGGAGAAAAAAAGATATCTTCTAAGGAAATTAAGCTTTAGACCTACAGTTGAAGAACTGAAGGAAAAGAAAATAATTCGTTTCAATGATTATATTGAAGTGACACAAGCGCATGATTATGATAGAAGAGCAGATAAACCGTGGACCAGATTAACACCAAAGGACAAAGCAGCCATCAGGAAAGAACTGAATGAATTTAAAAGCTCAGAGATGGCTGTGCATGAGGATAGTCGACATTTAACTAGGTAGGCATTATAAAAATTAATTATATAATCTCAATAATACTGGTATATAAATAGTTGTGCAACGTACTTTTTTGAAGTAAACTAAATAATAGTAATGAGTAAACTTGTAGATTTTAAACTTGTCTCAAAATTATAAGAAAATTTAAAATTTTGTTTTGTGAATTTCAATTAATTTTGTTTACAAAATCGGAAGTTTCAACAAATTGCATCAACATAGATATTAATATCTGATCAATAATAAAAATATTATGATCGATTTTCTATAAAATGATATTTAAATTATATTTTACAGGTTCCACAGACCATGACAATTCTATTGTCTCTTATACTATGTGGAGAAATTATTGGTAAAAATGAAGTTAACAGACCTAATTAAGCATTGTGCTGTGATTACCGTTAGTATTAAATTTGATCATTTCATTGTGAATAATCATTGATCATTATAATACTCCATAGAAGACCTTGGATATTTCAATATTAGTTCAGTGATCATGTAATTGATTTGTTTCATAAGGGAAACATCAAATTTTCTTTTTCTTGATGTTGCTGATTAATCTGGGTTGGTGGTTTATGATAAAATCTTTTTTGCTAATATTAGAGCTATGAAAATTGGCTTAAGCATGAATATTAATTTAGACTCGAGGAAAATTGTATCTGCGACAGTCTGAAACATTCCAAACTATTTTTATAGTTAGATCAGTTTTGTTGTCTCTAATATTTTAACTAGTTTATGCACCACCAATTCATAAAAAAAGCAGTAATAGCGATTCATGATATTTAGTTTATCATGTTTTTCTTTTGATTTATTGCCATAATCGTTTTTAGTTCAAAACAAAAGTGAGAATATTACGTTTTTTCCAATGTATCAATGTGAAATTATTCTACACATTTATTAATATATGAATAAGGTACCTCTATTTTCATAATATAATGTGATAGATAGTGAGAATGCTAATATTGTATAATTTCTTAATATTTCTATTTTAGTATGACAAAAATGTATTTCTTTTATATATGGTTAAAATTGATAATTCACCTTTCATAAAATATGAAAATATGTTAAAATATTAAATGATTTTGTTATATGTTAACAAAAATTATTTTCTTAGGAATTAACATTTGTGCTTATACAGATGAATATATAATAAAGATATACTTAAATTCATTGTTCGATACAAATGCCAGTATAAGCACCAGTATATATATATATATATATATATATATATATATATATATATATAATAGGTTTCTGATTTTTTTATGTTATTCTGCTTGTTATATTATTTTCTCTCATAAACAGTTCTTTTCATTACACTTCAAAATAATTTGTTACATTATTAATAATTAATAATATGAATATAAACAAACTTTAGGAACTGAATATGGCAAGGAATACTAAACAGAACATATGTCAATGAAATAAATTGAAAAAAATTGATTTTGGTTTTCGAGATGTGTGGTCAGCGTAAATATATATATATATATATATATATATATATATATATATATATAAATTTATTAATTATTTAGGAAAGAAAACATCTGGATGTGTTTTTTATGTCTTTCATAGTTTTTAAACAAAATTTGTAGACTATTTTGGTATAGTAAAATTTTATACAAATAATTATTGTTAAAAGCAATTGGATTGCACTATTATTTTAAAGGTTTAATGTGCAATATGTGATCTGAAGCTTATAGTTTTGTATAACATATGCAAATATAGTTTTGTATAACATAAGAACTTTCCATAATTATACTTAAAATAACATTTTAATATTGCAAGTTTATCAAAATATGTATTCAGTATTTTATAAGAATTGTTTCATATTTTGGTTTTTGATTTTGATGTGAAAATCTTTTTGAAGTGATCTTTTGTATCATGGATATATTGCAGTTAGTGAGTATTGGACCAAGGATGACTGTGGATAATTGCATATGTCTATCGCATGCCTATATTGATTTTTATTATCTCCAACAATGTTTATGAAATAAACAATCATGCATAATACACTCTCTACTCAATGGCTGTTTTTACACTACATTACATAATCTCAGATTTTTAGTCCAGTAATCTTTTGTACTAATATGTTATTTATTATTCTTAGGCACACATAACTACGAAATGGAAGACGCATTTATATATATGATGCATGTTATAAAAGAAAAAAAAAAAAAAAACATTAGTTTGTGTTCCTGTTCATCTATTATATTTGTTCTAATATTGAGCGCTCTGTACATTTAAATGCAGGATATTCTTTTGTTCAGAATGTATTATGTTATGATGTTGGGAGCAGTTTAAGGATTTAAAATAATCTGCTTGCATAGTGCTAATAAATATTGAAGTTTATGTCGAAACTCCAAATTATTACACTATTAGTTGTGAGGGCTTATTTTTAGAAGTTTTCTAGTGGCGTAATCTACTTTCATATCATATCTAAACACCAAATGATTATTAAGATCGATTTTGTATATTGTTGATTTTTCCATGGTTAATTGCATTCTGTTAGTATTATGAATTATATATATATATATTTCAGTGATAGATAACACAACAATAATATACTTATACATGTGAACTATAAAATTTTACTAATTTGTAAATAGTAAATTGTTATGAAACTGAACAACCAGATTGTTTATTTTAAAATTTTTCACAAGGCATTTTAATACATTTCACATTTTTGCAATTACCCAACTTTTTCTCTTTTCAGCTTTAATGTTTACCTTTTTATGCATACAAAATATGTTTTTATAACTAAAATTTGTAAAGAAAAAAAAAACAAAGAATTGGTTCAATAAGTGCTGCCGACCTGAAGTGATGCCCTTATATACTCGATAATTAATTTTTAATTCTAGGATTCTATTTAAAAGAGTTAGCACTTATTAACATGATTCTGATGTCCAGCTTAGTTAGTACTAAGCTAAAAGATTTTAAAATTTAGACATGTAGAATATAAATGATCCACATCCAAAAACTGAATTAGGAAACATACATGCATATAATATGTAATAAATGCACGCAGATGCTTAGAGTTACTATTTTATATGCATATATATATATATATATATATATATATATATATATATATATACACATAAGTATATATTTATGTGAGAACTTGATGAATCAAAACCATCAGTATTTGTCCACAATATTGAAATTTTGTGCTTATTAGAAATAGTGCTTGTTAATAATTAATAATTATAAATGGCATAAATTTTAACCCAGTCACGTATTTCAGAACAAAATTGGACATCAGTAAAACATCGAGATGTATCTCTTTTGAATAATATAGCAAGGAAAGCCGAAACATGCATAAACATATATGTACATATATTTTTTGTATGTATGTGTGTATATATCATATATAATAATTCAATTTATATACAAAATGTAAATATTATTAACTTGATAATTAGAAACGTACTGAATGTCTGAATAAACAATGACACTTGTGAGTTTTTTATAAATTAATTATACAAAAGTGAATGTATCATTATCCAATCATTTTATGATACATCATACTTGTGTATATTTGTATTATATTATGTAATATGAAGTACAATTTATTATACATAAATGATTGTTACAAGATGCGAATTGTTTTATATAATAAAGCATACTTGTATATACAAAGTTATTATTATGACTTATATGAAGAATCAAATGATATCTAACTAAAATTTAGTTTCAAGTTTTCCTTTATTATTAAGTAAACTAAAAGTGAAATTACTATTACTTTACTAAAAACGTTATCACAATATTTTGTTGTTTATCATAAATTATATTATGTAAATATATTAGTTTTTAGTACATATTGTCTTATATTTAATAAAATGCTTTTTGACTTTAATGCAGTTTTATTATTACATTTTTTTATTATTGTTCTATCTTAATATTATTTAACTAAACGTAACTTGTTTTATATTATTACAGGAATATGAAATGTGTGTGCATATAAATTTATATGAATGTATATATAGCAATCATACTCCTTCGAAATGGGTTGACCGATTGTTATGAAAATTTATATATATGTATATATATATATATATATATATATATTCAGTAGAACTGAAAATCTTATAACATATTTATCATTTTCATACCCCTAAATTATAAGGGTTGGTCACCCATATTTTATATTTTATAATGTGAGAAATAAAAAATACTTACTGCCCTAAACTTTTATCCTTAAATCACAAACCATTGTTTTTCCAGTCACTTTAGAAACATGTACAATCAAATTATTATTATTTACATATTGATAAGAAGCATCCTGTGAAACATTTGTTAATGCTGTTCGAACATTATCATTAGAATTTGAACAAGAAAATTATAAGTTGAATAGATTTTCTTGGATATTTTAAAAATGTATATTTGTCTCTAATTAAAGATATTAAGAGTATGTTTTCGATGATCAAAGTTAATGATTATTAAAATTATTATAACTCGAAGAAGTCGAATTGCTCGTATATCCAAGCAATATTTTCGTTCCAGCGCAGTGTTTTTTTGATAATCAAAATAAATGGAACTTCATTGCTAAGATCAAATACATATTCTGCAAAAATATAGCAAATTACTAAATAAAAAATGACTAAATTATCATTATACTAGTTTTTACATATAAAAAGCTTTTTTTTAACTTATAGTATTGCAAAAATGAGTTAAGTAGATATGTTTTGTCAACAATTCTGATACTCCGCGAGTTGCATTTTTGAGGTAATCTTTATTTACAAACAACAATTTGTTAACATTAACATTGCACGAATAAATGCACAACATTAATATATTTTTTTTTATTTGTTCATATTATATAACAATCAGAGTTATTAACGGTCCCTATGAGTTATATGTCTAAATTACACATAATAATAAAATAAATAAAAAATAATAATAAAAAAATAATAATAATTACAGAAAGAAATAAAAAAAAAATAATAATAATAAATAAGTAATAAAAATGAATTAAAAATAAAGAAAAATAAATAAATAAAAAATAAAAAAGATATAACCCAAATTGTAGTAATTGCTCCGATAAGCAATTGACTATGGAAAACAATATTAATATAAATGAAATAAAATTTTTAATTTTAAAATAATTTACTTTAAATATCAGTCTGATAGTTAAATGCGACTTCAAATACGAAAATTCTTGTTACAATTAATATTAGATGAACTCGTTTTATTCGTACCTAAAATAAAGTTTACGTTACGCCTTTTACTCGCACGTATCTTGAATTTTGCTCGTATGATGAAGCAACGAATCGCTCCTTTGGCGGCTCGTATCTCGAATTTTGTTCATATATAAAAGCACATGCTTGGTAATATTATTTTAAATATGGCGCGTTCTCAATGAACGTGGCGGACGAACACTTGTCGATACGCATAGATTTTAGTTCAACGAAACGCCGCTAAAGCGCCACTCAAAGAAGGCATCGGATCAATCCGCTACGGGACTTCCTTTCTTTCGAGCTCCTTCTGTCGTGTTGATACATCGATGATATATTCATAAGTCGCAGGTAATCTAAGCAATCCGCAAACAAGATTAGCATTAGGTTTCGAAAAACGTAAAAGGAGTTTATGAAAACGTGGTTTTTTAGTGTATAATACTAATATTTTGTCTAGTTTGAAAATAAGAATAACTCTAAAAGTAAGGTTAAGTGTCAATATATGTTCGTTGTTGAGAATGCTATTAATTAGAAAACGTGTTCCGTATTCTATGCTGTGTACGCTTTAAAGAAAATTGTGAATTAAATATTTAATGTGCAATTTTATTTTATAGCCATGGTGCGAATGAATGTTTTAAGTGATGCTCTCAAGTCGATCAACAATGCTGAGAAAAGGGGCAAACGCCAGGTGCTTCTGAGGCCATGCTCTAAAGTTACTATTAAATTCCTCACTGTGATGATGAAACATGGTTATATTGGTGAATTTGAAATCGTTGACGACCACAGATCTGGCAAAATTGTAGTAAATTTAACTGGCAGATTAAACAAATGTGGAGTAATTTCACCTAGATTTGATGTTCCAATTAATGACATTGAAAAATGGACAAACAATTTGTTACCTTCCCGTCAATTTGGGTATGTACATATTTCTTTACTATTTGTTTAGAAAAGTTTAGTTTGAGATATTGTGCAGCAAATACAATACTTGCCTTTAGTTTTAAGCTTATCAATGAATGTATAGTACAATATTTAATTTAGCTTAAATGCTAAATAAATTTCATTGTATATTGCTAATCTATATATATTTATGCATATCGATAAGTATTTGAACGCAATTAATTTTCTATTCAAGACAACCATTTAACAAATATTGTCAAATAATTTTGAACGCAAAACTTTTTTTACTTTTCAGTTCTTGAAAAGAACTTTTTAATTAATTTGTTTTCTAATGTTTAATTTTAATTTTTAGGTATGTAGTCTTAACAACGAGTGGTGGTATTATGGATCATGAAGAAGCTAGGCGTAAACATTTGGGAGGCAAAATATTAGGATTCTTCTTTTAAGCTGTATTATGTCCTGAATAAATCAGATTTCTACAACAACTTGTTGAGTATTTTCATTTCATATGTTCTAATATATAACCTTCAGTAGAAATCGAGTGCTGTAAAATAATCACTCAACAAGTATCACTTAACTTAAAAGCAATGCATTAATCACACGTATGCTCTTCAATATCATAAAATAGATTTTACAAACAAAACCTGCAGCTTCTCACGTTTAGAAATAAATGTTTGTGCTAATTATATTGTAGTGTAATTGTGGCAGCCTCCAGTTTTTAAAACCTACCTATAACAAAATCAGCAACATAATTAGCACTTGTGTTTAATCTTTTAAGTCAGCAACAAGTTTAATCTTAAAATTATAGCCAAGTAAACACATGCATATGCATGAATATTATGTTTCGATAATCATGCATTATTTTAAGGTATGTTTACAACATTTCTGAACAAATATGTTGTGGATCAGAAAATATGCAATATTTATTACAAATATACATTGTCCATGAAGCACAATTATTTAGTGCTGCTGTTAAGATAAAATTCATTTTTCTTTCTTACTAACACTTTTAATAGTGCATGTTTACTTGAAATACGTATAAAGTCAAGTACATGCATAAAAATTCAGTGGCATCTGTTTAGTATTGTGTGTTTTTGTACTATGATAAACATGCATAGTTTAAAAAAAAAGCTCCAATAACTGACAAACCACTATGTTTCTTCATAAACTTTCGTTAAAATCAAATATTTGTAATATAAAGTCTTCTCATTATAGTAAGTTTACCTCGGAATTCGAGATACCCAGCTGTAAGTCTATAAATATTTGTAAATAGACACCCTAAAGTTGTCTCAAAACCTACATATAATATTGACACCCTACCATATGTAGTTTTGAGACAACTTTAGGGTATCAATATACAAGTATTTACAGACTTACAGCTGGGTATCTTGAATTCCGAGATTCTTACCTAATTTAAGCTTTAATGACTGGGCTAATAAGATAACATTACTTTTATTACTCAATAATAAAATACAGTCGTCCCTTGACTTTTGAGTGACCTAGCTATACTAGAGTTTCAACATAAAAGCTGCTAAAGAGGCAATTCGTTTCTTTGCTACATGAGCTTTGAGTATATTTTTTAAAAAAAAATATATTAATGAAAAATGAAAATCATCAGTTGTAACAATAATTATCCTTCCATAGAAATACTTTGGCTGTTTTATGATAGTAAATTATTAACCATTTCAATTACAAATTAATTTCAATTGGTAGTAGTAATGATTTAGCCAATATGTATGAAAAATTTTCAATTTGAAAATTTAACTACACAGTGTAATGTTATATATGCTGAGTTTGCGTTTTCTTTGCCTTTTGTAAATTAGCAAATTATATTTACTTTTATAACCATGAGGTCTAAAAAGATCATTCATTTCTCTTGAATTAAAATGTGAAATAATTGAAAAATATTCTCATTTCTGCAACATAAATGGACAGGAAAAAATAATTAAATAATAGTAAATTTATTCTGAGTTTGTAGGGGGGATCCGCTGTACTGATTGTGAGATAGTAACTTTTTTTTAGTTAATACTTTCATGTTGATAAAATTTATTCCAGTGGATCATTCTCAAGTTCTTCAAGGGCAATACATCAAACAAAAGGCGAAGATTTAAAAGTAAAACTTTAATTTTCCCAAAGGCTTTGACATAGGATTTTCTCATCAGTGGATATAAATATACATAGTTTTACATTAATAGCTGTGCGAAGGGCGCATAATTTTGCACTATCATATATACACTAACTTGTCGTTCAAGAAGAGAAGTTTAATGTCAAAGAAGTGTAATTGAAAAGAGCAAAGTGATGGTATATGAAATATTTATATGAAGTACAAGATATTTAGCTCGAAGATAGTTGTATTGACTTTGGCTCCAAGGCTTGGATCAATCGTATATTGATCTTGGATATGCGCAAAACTTATTTATTAATCTATGATTGTATCTACTATAGGCAGCAGAAGTTGATGTCCAGAAAATGAACTGCACTAGCACTTTCTCTCACGTGCTAGTTAAAAATGTTAGTGTTTAATATGATTGCAAAAATTCAAGTTTGTATATAATAAAAATTATGCTTACTTGACAAAGTAAAATAGAAATATTAGTTTAATAATAAATTTTTTATTACTAATTTGTTGCTTGTTTTTAATACACCCGCGCTGATTGTCAATTTAAATGTATGATCAACTTTTCTATTGTCACTTTTATAATCAAAGTGGCCTGCTATATTCGTTTGTTTACATCGGCTAAGCGGCTAGAACAAAAAAACATCCATATTTTTTATTATCAAAATTAGTAGTAAATTTTTATTAAAAATTTTATTCACCATAATGGGTGAAGGACCAAGGCAAGATAAGAGTGAAGATAGTAAAGTTTCTTCAACTAGTTCAAATCCCAATAAGAAAAAGAAGCAGCAACCTTCTCGCTTGAATAATGCTGAAGCCTGGAAGTAAGTAGCGTTTGTGAATAATTATTCAAAACAAATTTGTCGTACAGGTATTTTAATTTTATTTAGATTAACTCGAGAAGATGCAGAAGAAATCAGGAAGGCCCTTGAAATTGGTGAATCGTCGCTAAAGAATTATCTGAAGTAAGATCTATTTCGTAAATTTATTTTAAAGAGTTATCGAACAGTCAGATTATGAGGCTAGGAAACATGTGGTTTACATGCTCAATATTAATAAAAAAAGTTTAATGCTATTATAAAACAAATTGATCAAAACATTAAAAAATAATCGGTTTGCTTACGTATTAGAAAAGGTGACCGTGTATCATCTACATCGGAAAGTGAAACTAAAATTAATATAATAAATATATAAATATTTCTGTTATTTGATGGATAAGTGATCTGGAAAATAAGAAAAACATTAAGTTTAAATTTGACAGCAATTGTCAGGTTGTTGAATGCCTATATATGTTCGTTACTCAGAATACTATTTATTGAAAGAGGTGTTCTGTATTCAATGCTGTGTATGCTTTAAAGAAAAATGTGAAATAACGTTTTAATTTGCGATTTTACTTTATAGGTATGGTGATGCTTACTTCAAGTAATTCTTTCAAGTTGTTTAACAAAATGGACAAGGTTCTTGTGAGACCATGCTCTGAAGATACCATACATTATATACTTCTCACTGTGATGATAAAACATGGTTATATTGGCGAATTGGAAATCATAGTAAATTTAACTGGCAGTAATGAATGACATCGAAAAATTGACAAACAATTTGTTACCTCCCCAACAGTTTGGGTATGTACATATTTCCTCACTATTTGTTTAGAAAAGTTTAGTCTGAGATATTGTGCTGCAAATATAATACTTACCTTGAGTTTTAATTTTATTAGTGGACGTATAGTACAATATATTAGGCATAATTAAGTATACTTAATTCAGCTTAAATATTGCACATTTACATCTTTTCTTAAAAAATGTTAAATGAATTCATTAATTGTATAGATTATTCTAACATCTTTCATTTCATGTTTTACTAATATATTATTTAAACTTACAATTGTTTTTGTATCAAAAAAAAAAAAAATTAACAAATTTTGTTATAAATGTTTTCAAAAGTTAAACTATTTATTTATCAAATATCAATCATTACTTTAATTTTGTTTGTCAATTGAATCTTTTTCTAATATTTATTTTAATTTTTAGGTTTGGATTTTTGACGTCTGATTTGAGAATAAAATCCGAAATCACCTCTATTAAGCTATACTATGACCTGAATAAATCAGATTTCTACTACAACTTCAGTAATTTTTAATCACTACCATTAATAAGATCCACTATGTGTTGTGCTTACATTTCTATTGATTTACTTATGTAGATTTTTTGAGTAATTTATCTTCATTTCATACGCTTTGATACATAGTCTTCAGTACATTGAATATGTGCGCTATATAATTAGCTCTTAATTTAGTACTTATTACTAAATCGGAATATCACTCAACTAAATAGGAATTTAATGTATGCTCTTCGGTATCATAGAATAGGTTTTAAAAGTAAAATCTGCAATCACTGCCAAATTTAAAGATAAATGTTATTGCTAATTACGTTATTAGTGCAAATGTGTTAGCCTTTAGTGCTCAAAATACACCTATAGCATAATCAAAAACTAATAGCAATTAGCAATTATGTTTAAACTTTTTAAAGTTAGCAAGATGTTTAAACTATAGCTATAAGTAAACACACACTTATGCATACATATTATGTTTGGTTAACCATTTTATATGTACAATATTCTAAGATGTTTTTATGCATTCCTGAACAAATTAGGTGTGGATCAGATATTATGCAATATATCTTGTTACAAATATAAATTATCCATGAATAACAATTGTTTGTTGATGACGTCGAGATAAAATTTACTATATTTAGTGTATGCTAGTGGTGTGCATACTAATCTGATGTAGTATATAGGGGTGTGCAGCGGACACAAGCGTATTGTGCGTTTTTGTACTACGATAAACATACTAGTTTAAATGAAATCACCAATAGCTGCCAAATCAATACTTACGTTTTGGCGTTTTTTTATAAACTTTTGGTAAAAACTAAAACACTATTTGTGATATAAAGTGTCACCATTTTTTTTACTCTGTAATAAAACAGTGGTATCCCGGTGTACGAGTGGCCCGACATACGATGTTCAGAGACGCGAGCCGGCAAAAGAGATCGATTACTAGCTCCTACATACGAGCGAAATTCGAGATACAAGTGCAGTTACAGGACGAATTAAACTCGTATGTCGGGGTACCATTGTGCTGGGATAATTACTAATTCCGAGTTTCTTATAGCACGGTTTTCATATTATACTCACTGTGATATCGGAGGGTTGTCTGTATATGTATTCCTCTTGTTTCTTTTACATGGCCAATATACCATACTTCTGAAGAGAAACTAATTACTGGACGATGAGTGTACCAAACTGAAATTGAAGTATGATGAAAAATTCATTTAGAAAAATGATTTACCGCGACTTATTAAAGAAGACAGT